CATGGGAGATCCTAGCACAGAACCCCCAGCAGGGCACTCAGAACGACTCTGTTTTGGGAGAAGCAGGTTTGGCTGTTCTGGGCCTAAGAGTACTTAAGATCAAGATTTTAAAGTATCAAAGTGATTCAAAGTCACTTATTTCAGAAGATTTTTTTTTTAAATCCAACAACCAACAAGACGTATAATTTGTAATGTCCACCATCCCTTTACAACTTACCCAAACCCCCCAAGAATGTGACATAGTGAGAAAGCGGGGACGTCTGTCACGAGAAGTGTCCCAGAAATGACATGATCGGCAGAGTATGAAGACCTGGGGCTAGAAAGAGTTACATTCTGGACATCATGAAGAAAGATGGGAAAATAAAAAAATCCACGCTAAACTGCTGGAAACAAAACATTAATAAGGCCTAAATATAAAAATACACGAACTGAAATATTAACGACAGCAGCTTAGAAAACTTGTAAACGTATCAGTGGATAGTTTCCAACGTAAAGACAACAAACAAAACTGAGGAAACACAGAATTGATCAGAGGCCTACGAGATACACTGTGTGCGTAACTAAAGTCCTCCAGGACGGACGCAGATTTTTTAAAATTCTAGAAATGGGCACATTGTAAAAAATATTTGTTCAAAACGATACTATATCCCCACAAATACGAAAACATCAGCAAACCCCAAATGTAAGAAAGCCACAAAGAAAACTAGACAGACACAGCGTAACCAATTTGTTGACAATTTGTGGCCGAGAAAATAAACTTTTAAAAAGAATTCATGTAGAAAGTAACCAGAAAGACGTGAGACCGTGTCGCACAAAAAGGAAGAAAGAAAATACAGAAGAAACATCTTTCAAATAAAATACTAAGAGGAAGGGGAACGCCCACCCACAGCCTCCGTCCTCCTGCTCCCCCTGAAGCCAACTACGCAGCCCCTGGGCTGCGCCAGCGCTGTGCTCTCCCGCTGTGCCCTCCTTGCCCTCTGCCACCTTCTAGAGAAGGAAACCAAAGGATGCTCCCCACTGTCTCTCCCCACTTCCCCTACTCCCCAGCCCAGAGAAACGCTGCTCATACCGGAAGAGACTATTGAAAGATGGTTTATTTTATTTTTCTCTGACCTCTTCATCCTTGGGAAAATTTTTTGAAAGTTTTTTTAAAGGACAAAATTGACCATTAAAAAACAATCAATCAGAAAACCCCTTCCTAATCCATAGAAAGTGATGTCTTTCCCCTCTAAGAATTTCTTTGTTTTGTTCTTGAAAATATGTTTTTGAAAGTTGCCTTGTTGTGGAGCGGGAATCGGAAACAATACCCAGTTGCCTGTTTTCCTCGGGGAGCCAACCCGAAGATATCCAGCTTCTCTGGAGGTGCCTGGGCGGGCGCTGGCTAGACTCTTCCTCTGGACTGAGTTGCATGTATAGCTCCTCCTGCCTGGAGGCTAGAGTGTTGGGGCGACTCGTGTCCCAGCCGTGTCCAGAGTATCCCTGTGTCGCATTGTTCGAAGCTGACGTCCTGTGTCTGTATCCTGCTTGTGTCCTCACCCCGCTGGCTGTTGACTGGTGCCAGGCCCTGTCCTGCCCTGAAACCCTTCATCCTACAAGGCCAAGTTTGCTTCAGACTGTTGGAAAACAGAGTTGGCCTGGATCTCAAACACGCGTGTCCTCAGCCTCAGCGTCTTCCCCCGCGTCAGAGGGGACAGGTGAACACCTGGCAGCCGAGGCCTGACTGCATTTCTCATGATGTCCTGAAAGATCCCCGAGACCTCGAGGAGGCTTTGTCTCATCAAAGGTGACTCAAGGTGTCATTGTCCTCCACTGGTCTGGGGGGTCTCCCCATCTTGCATCCCCCCTCTGCAAACCATCTCTACCTGCCCTCCGATCGACTCCGCCTGGGAACGGGGGATGAGGAACTGGGGGCTGGGGAGTCCTGCCAATAGGTATATGTGGACATGGAGCGTCCCTACCCGACTCCTCTCCTCCAGCCACTGCCTGCCGGAGTTGGGCTGTGAGTGCCAGCGGAATGGCTGGAGTCTGCTGTTGTCAGAAGCTGGGGAGGGTGGTGACGGACCGGCCCACGGACTGGGACATGTGTTTAGCATGGGTGAGACTGCACGTTCGTCTCCAGTGGGGGAAAGAAGTCTGTGGTCTCGTTGCTGAGTTACTGCAGTGTCTTTACCCCCCTGTTCAGTGGCTTCCTCTGTTGGCCAAGAGTTTGGGAGTAGGAGACGGTGTCCCAGGCGCACAGGGCTCGCCCTCTGTCTCGGTGCCTCGTTGCTTTGGCCTCGCCCTCCCAGTGTTCAGCACATGGGAACCCATCTCAGTTCCTGTGGCCCAGTGGTCTCACACCCAGGAGCAGTGTCTGGTTTCTGCTGGGAAGGTGCATTCGAGGACTGTGCCTGACAGGTCTGGTTGGTGCCTGCTTCACATGGACCAGACACTGGACTCCTGCACCCCCTACTCCCGCCCTTCATTTCTTCTTGCTTTGCTTCGAGACTCTCAGCCCCATACTGTATCTAGCACCACAGAAACCTCAGTGTTTGGCCTCTGCTGGGCTTGGGGGCACAAGGAAGCCTTGGAGGTGGGGCAAAGGCTGTTCTCATCTAGTTTACTCCTGGGCCAGGGCTGCTGTCCTCTCCCTGTTCCTCTCAGACGGCGCTGAAGGAGGAGGAAGCCCTGTAGGTTAGGAAGGCGAGGGTTTCATCTCAACCTAGGAGGAGGGAGCGGGGAGTTTTTCTTTTTGTTTGTTTGTAACATGTTAGGAGTTAATGTTGCAAAGAGTAGTTTACATCTTCACTTTCTGAAGACACTTGAATTTAGGACCGATGTATCTGTGACAAGCGTGCCCGGAGCGGCAGCGCCATCGGGAGGCAATCTGAGACCCGAGACACAAAGCAGCAGCCTGCCCAGACCCCTGTGCACCCTCCACCCTGCCGAGGCTGGCTCGGCTCTCACGGGCACGTTCCTGTCTGCTCTCTGCTGCGCCTGGGAGCAGACGGATGCACTCCCAGTAGAGAAAGCCTCCCAACCTGCCCCAGCCTGGACCCCTGGTTCAGATCAAAGTGCTGAGCCTCCCTCCAAGTTGTTCAGTGTTTCTGTTTCATTCCACTGTAGCTTTCCCCCTTTCCTGACCACTGATTCAGAGAGAGAGTAAGCTGCTCAGAAGGCCCTGGAAGTGGGGAGGAGGGCCAGGAAGATGAGTAGTTAGAAGGTGGCTGAGTTTTTTGCCAAAAGCTTGGGTAGAGTGGTCTGCATCGTCTGGCGCCCTCCTGAATGGGAGCCCCAAAGTCCCTCCTGTGTGGAAGGGGCCCTATATTCTCCCCCACCCCCATTCTCTCCTTCCTCAGCTGTGTTGCTGGCACAGGCAGAGAGGACATGAACTTACAGCCCGTTTCTCACTGGAGAGGAAAACTTGTCATCTGGCTTCGCGGAATAGGTTCCCTTACACTCATAGTACATTATCTGTCTGTACCATGTGCCAGGATATCACACTTAAAAGGACAAAAAAAAAATGTAAAATACTTGAATGAGCTTGTATTATAACATTAATACTGAGAGTATCTGCTTCCCAGGCTGAAGTGATTCATTCATTGTTCTAGTCCTGCTTTTGTCCTTTGTAATTTGTGGTAATTATGCTTTTCTTTTTAATACAAAAAATATATAAAAATAAAAATATGAAAAGATAAAGATAAAAAAGTGGGGGGGGCCACCAACTCAGAAATCCGTGACCAGTGCAAACAGCTCTCAGAGGACAGACATATCATTTTTCAGACATAAAATCTGAAGGAATTCACCACTAGCAAACTTGCATCTTAAAATGTAAAGGAAGTGCTTGGGCAGATGAAAATCATATAAGATACAAACCTAGTTTTTTTTGGCAGCGTCAAACTCACAACATCCCTCCTGCTTCAGCCTCTCGAGTATTAGAAAAATGTCTTCTTGAAGGCTCAGGGGTGTTGGAGATCTTAAAAAACTCCTAGAACTACTAAACAAGCTTAGCAAAGTGATACAGTACAGAAGTACTAGCAATAATTAACACTGAAAAAAAGAGTAACAACTAAAATATCAAGAATACAAAATTCTTAGGCATAAGAAAATCTCCTTGATAAAGTGGAGAGATATAGACCACATTCATCTATCACAACAGCAAACTGATAAATGTCAGTTCTTCCCAAACTGGTTGGTGGATTGAATATCAAAATCTGAGCAGGCTTTTTGAAGGAATTGTCAGTATTGGGGAAAAAAAGTACAGCATACAGTGGTACTTCGGTTCACAGAGTTAGTATGTTCCATAACTCTGGAGGAGGCTGTGGTTGTGCTCACCACCCAATGCAGAGTTCGCTAATGGAAGCAAAATTTGCTGAATGCCAACTGAATTGTGTGCTAACAGAAGCATCGGTGAGCATCGGTCTTACTGTGTATTTGTGTTCGTAGATATGTACACACACACACACACACACACACACACACACACCACCAGGAATAGTCAATTTTTTGAAGAGCACAGTTGAAAGAGCTGTACCTCTTGATTCCAAGATCACCAACACCCTGTAGGTGCTCATAACCAGGACAGATTGTGCATACACCGCCATACACCCATGGATTAGAAAGGGCTCATAAACAGACCCAACAAACACAATCAACTGATTTTCACAAAGCCAGTTGAATCAGAAAAGGATGTACTCACCCAGTGGTGTTTGAACAGCTGGGCAGCCATATGGCAGGAGTGCACACACACACACCCAAAAGGTAACCTTAACACTCCACAGCATATATAAAAACTCAGAGTGGGTCCATTTCAAGTGCAAACTAACCTGTAGCAGCAGAAAGCAAATCAGTACTATGTACCCAGAAGAACACAGAACCACCCAGAGACACTCAGTTATACCTCAGTAACTCTGAAATACAAGCCCCGCTGTGTTAAGGAATCTGCTGTTTGTTGCTGGATGTCCCTAGGTGTGGGCAAAGCCCATCCATCTGCCTCAGGCCCACTCTGGTCTCTCTCTCAGGTCGAGTTTGAACAAAGAGCCCTCGACTGCCGGCTGGGGCTGAAGGAAGGCCGCCCGTTCTCAGGGGTCACTGCGTGCTTGGACTTCTGCGCCCATGCCCACAGGGACCTGCACAACATGCAAAACGGCAGCACACTGGTAGGTGCTGGGCGCAAGCCGTGGTCACAGGGTGAGCTTCCTGGGCAGTGGAAACAACCGAGGGCTAAGTACTGAGAAGTGTGGGAATTCCTGGTGCTAATCTCAGCCAGCGTCTCCACATCGCCTTTCCAGTTAGGCACTGCAAACAGCTCTCCCTTTGGGGTTTTGTCCTCCCTAAGTTACGCACAAACAGGAAAGCATTCACAAGCCCCCGTGCCTGTCACTTTGCTGCACAGTACAGGAGGTCACATTGTCACTGCCGCTGTGCGCTCTGTGCCCAACCACAGTGCAGCACAATGGCTCCAACCAGAGGTTCCAGCGGGTGCCAAGGAACAGGTCTGAGGTTGAAGCTTCGAGGGAAAACACAGAGGTCTTAGAGGTGCCTGCTCCCCACTGAGCAAACCTGGAGCTTTGCCTTGCCCGTAAAGGGACCGTCCAGGGTACAGATTAAGAGGAGGAAAAGAATTCAGAGCTGGGCATGGTGCCACATGCCTGTAGTCCCAGCTACTCAGGAGGCTGAGACAGGAAGATCATTTGGGCTCATGCATTCAAGACCAGCCCAGGCCACACAGTGAGAATCTGTCTCAGAACAAAAGAAAGTCCTGGTGAGGAAACCATCCTCTGTGACTGACTCACCACAACGTGTACCGCCCCGGGCAGACACAGCTGAGGAAATGTATCAAGGGAGACGTAAGATGACAAACAGATCCCAGGCGGAAAGCCCTGTCCACGGCGGCAGGGAACTTGGGCAAGTGGTAAATGACAGCCAGGCACGTTGCGGAACAGGGAGTAAAGTTTCTGAGAAGCAGAGTAAGTATTAGCTTTATGTCCTAGATCAGGACTCGGGAAAACTATAAAGGGAAAGATTATTTAATTGAACCCCTTGAAACTGCAGAAACCATCCTCCCATTGCTAGCTGAGGCTCCAGGCAGATTAGCCACCAGCCTGTCTGCTGCTGTGCGACCCCCCAAAAGTAAGCGCAGAGCTCCCCGCCCGCCCTGACAGAAGCCTGCTCGGTTAGGAGCTGGGCTGGACTGGGGAGGGGCAATCCACGCTAGCTGGCCCAGGGAGAGCGGGCCCGGCGATTCTCCATAGAAGGTGACAGGAAGCTCGCAGGAAGAGGACAGAGTTTAGAACGAGGGAATTCATTGCCTGTGGTCAACCACAGGTTCAGTGGTGTGGGATGGAAACAGCCCTGGATAGGAATGGAATAGGGTTTGCCTGTGTGAGGAAAAGTAACCCGGTGCTGAGAAGCAGGAAGGAGGAAAAGAGAGTCATCGCACCGCCTCAGGTCAAAGATCTTACCAAGATCACATGCTAGGGACCGCCTTCCTCTCCCTGGTGGCTCCCAGTAATTCTGCACCACCCCACGCTTCAGTGCTTGCCTTCTCCGTCCATCAGAAGCACTAAGTACCAAATGTTAGTATTACACACAAGGTTTTGCCACAAGCGGAAAAGTCATTAATTTGTCAAAGCAAAAGAGGCAGCTTTGGGTTTTTGTTTGTCGCTCCTCAGAGTGCTCAACTAACTGTATGTGGTGATTTCAGAAAAGCCATGAGGCAGAAGAGAAACCCTAAGTTAGGTTTAAGGGAGGACAGAGAGAAGCTGAAAGTGTTAGTCACCATAACTGGTAGCAACCCAGTCTCCAATTTTTCATTGTTTATGTTTTCTTATTGGTTTCTTTGGTGGCCTCCTGAACACAATGAGTTTCTTCAGAGTGAGGCGTCAGTGGGAAGAAAGATGTAAACTTTCTCTGTGTACAAAGCTAGGAGACCAGGCAATTGTGACACCACAGGCCTGGGGAGGCCGCTTGGAAAGGCGCCCCACGCTGCCCCACCTGTTTCTGGCGTGTGAAAAGCACAGCTCATCTCCTTTAGTAGGAGTGTGGCTTCCTCTCAGAGGCGGAAGTCTATGAAGTCAGACTTCAGCCTGCAGAGACTCAGAAAAGCAACAGCAAGGGCGGCATGGCGAAGTTTTGTCTGTCTCCCCACACCGTTCTCACGCTGTCTGCTTTAGTAACAGGCAGCGGGGTGCAGGCAGCGCGTGCGGGCTGAGACAGGAAGCGCAGTACACGCTGCGCCGGGACCCCGCCTGAGCCGGCCTGCATGCCCACAGGTGTGCACGCTCACGAGGGAAGACAATCGAGAATTCGGGGCAGTGCCCGAGGATGAGCAGCTGCACGTGCTGCCCCTGTACAAAATCTCCGACGTGGACGAGTTTGGGAGTGTGGAGGCTCAGGAGGAGAAAAAGCGGAGGGGCGCCATCCAGGTGCTGAGCTCCTTCCGGCGCAAGGTCAGGATGCTGGCAGAGCCAGCCAAGACCTGCAGACAGCGGAAGCTGGAGGCCAAGAAAGCGGCCGCGGAGAAGCTGTCCTCGCTGGACAACAGTGCCGTGAAGATGGAGAAGGAGAAGGCGGCCACCAGGGCGAAGCAGGTGGAGACCGCCAGCCAGGCCAAGCAGTTGACAGGTAAGCGGGGTGTGTGTGTGTGCGCGCGCGTGTGTGCGCACGCTGTGGCGTGCGTGTGACCCTGAACAGTGTCACATTTGGAAGGTTGTATCAATGGAGGTCTTAGCCATACCAGAACCAGGTTCTGCTCTTGGAGATAATGTACCATCCACCCCAGATCGACAGAGCAGGCTGGGTTTTATTCCATAATAAGTGAAGGGAAAGTGATACGGTGAGACCAGTGTTAACCTGGCAGGGCGGGGCATCCGTGTGGGAGGCACAAGAGCACTGGACAGGGGCAGTAACCAGACGGGCAAGACCTGGAACGTGGGTGGTGGCAGCAAAAATGTAGCAAGAATCATGCAAGTAAACTGTTCCAAAATACAAAAGTCAAACAGCGGCGATAAAATGATGGGATGAAGGAGCAAAGCTTAAAGATGACTCCAAAGGTTTTAAACCTAGACAGCTATAACAGTTCCATTTATCGATGTAAGTTTGAAAAGGATCATTTCCTCAGATGCACTGAGCCTGTCGTTTAGGATCTGTTCTCTGAATACGTCTCATTGTGGCAATGCAGCAGTACTGATCAAAACTAAGCTCATATGTTCTTTCTGTACCCCCTGGCCTTATGTCTACAGTTGGTACTAAAAAATAGGAATTTTGGAAATTAACTACAAAAATACGTCTCTCAAGTTCATTGTTCCAGTTTGCTTAGAAGCAGCCACCTCTGCATGGCAAAGCCACACTTCCCTGCCGCTCCATTTCCAAGCTCAGTGAAACTGAGTTATTTAGAATAAGTCAAAGATGCTGTTTGTTGATTGCCTGCCTTCCATGAAAAAATCAAGCCCATTCGATCACTGCTGGCTCCTTTAGATTGGCTGAAGTAGAACCCAACAGAACTCTGGTCTGGTCCCTTCCCACTGCTATTTTCCTGCAGATATTTGCCAGTTTGGGTCTCAGAACCACCACTGCAGTCTCACTTATTCATTATTAACTCGGGTGACTTCTTATGTGTGCAGGTAGGAAACAGAAATACGACTTTTAAAGTTTTGCTTACCAGGATGAACGTTTCTTTTAAAGTATTATCCACAACTATGTGAATTTCCTTCCCGGAAAGCCTTGCCATGAAGTAGGGTTTGCTAAGTATATTTAATGGCTGCTTTTTTTGGGGGG